TATATGCATGAATAAATAGCTGGACTCGAAAGCGAGCGAACTGGGTTTGCACATGACGGAAATAGACAAATTTTGAGATAGCTCGCGCGCCCCCCCATGTTAAATATAAACGGATAACTGTTTCCTTTTTTTCATTCTTACGGATTCGCTCCACAAAAAACATCATCAAATTTTCAGATATACCGTTATTTATGCATGACGACTACGGTTGTAATAGGAATTATTATATACTAAATATCAAACCTGCTCGAACTATGTGTAATAACAACAAATTCACTGGTGATAGCAGTGATAATCGCAGTAATGTCGTAATGGCTAGGATGAGTAATCCTCGTCCTAAACAAGCTTTGTAGACTATCTTTCTAAGGGGTCTGGCGGTAGTGTCAGCCAAGCATTTTTTGTTTCAAGGCCCATATCTCTAAAATCAACATAGTCAACGCGGAAAGGAAAAGGAAGCTTGTCCTAATAAAGATATCCTAGCAGACTTAGATCTAGGCGGTACATGTAACTAGCTATACTAATCTCGCGGTGGGGTATCTGTCGCCAGCAAGCTCTAAGCTCATTTGCGGAATAAGGTACGGTTTTAAGGTTCTGAAACTACGACACATGTTAGACAATGTTTCAATTAAAGGCAAGATGAAGTATGTGTAAGTATCAGTATATCAACAATAAGCTTATTTTGTTTGGCTTGCAGCATACAATTAACTAGATATTTGCCACCATATGACAAATTCAAGGTCGGGCCCTCTTTACCACTGTAATTTATAAAAACAACGACGCTGAAACAGTTTTTTTTTTACCAATAAGCTAAGATGATTGCGTCCGATTTCACAATTTGCATACTGGACCCGAATATTAATAGACAAGACTATAGTAGATAGTATGTATATGTACCTAATAAAGAAATATATTCTTTTCGCTACTACTAATAAGTAAAAGTTTCTGCAACATCTGAAATTCAGCAGCCCTTATAGTGTGTGTATAAGGTAACACGCCACAAAAACACTTTGTGACAGTTATTGTCCATGTTGGTCAAGGCAAACAAGCTACTGACCATAGAAGTGCAAGTTGTTAGTAATATAAAAATTCTCCTTATGTAAACCGAATGGTAACCATAGCAATCATAGCTTTCACCTGTGTTAATGGGACTTTTTCAGCCCTTTGCCTTGCTATTTCGGTAAAAGCCGGCAGTTGACGCATCCTATGCGCAGTTCTCTTCTTTTTGTTTTGAGTTTCACGTCCGGTGTCGTCGTTAGGCATTCCGTCAGCAGGACGAAACTGAGTCTGGCTATGGCCAGGTTTGAGCCTAAACCACCTAGGCAAACACGTTACCCACTAAGCTATCGTGGCACGCGCAGTTTCCTTCTACCATCATCCTGACGAGTCCTCGCTTCAAACCGTACTTATCGTACACTTCATACAAATTCAAAAATTGTAAATTTATCGATTTAGGAACATATGCTTTAAAGTGCACGAAAGGAATTGGAAAATAGGCCTTTAAGCACTCGATCAGCATTACAAAACGCGGCGGCTTTTTTGAATTCAACATCTAGATATGACCCGAGCTCAATGACCTGAAACGCAGTAAACTCTGTAATCATGTTTTCGTACATAAAGTTACGTACAAGGCGTATAAGCTACGCATAGATGGAACCGCATAAGCTTACAGTCGAATGATTCTAACCAAAACCCTACTCTGAACGTTGTGTGTTACTTGCGCCAATGGAGTATTAGCAAATGACAACCGTACAGCGTAAGATAGGTGGAACTTAACTATCAGCTGTGTGTCGATCATTCTTAAAAAAGAACTTTCAGTCCAGTTCTGTTCAACAATATCGTATAGGAAAGTTGAGGCTTCTAATAAAATACGCTTTTTGATAGCAGATAACTTTAAAAATACGCAGTCTAGACTTTAGAGTTATTAATTTTCTTAACGAAAATTTCGCTTGAAGTATCTGTCGGTAGCACTTGCAAGACTGTAAACTTAGATATAATGTTAGGCAATTTTAAACCCGTATCTTAGAGAATTACATTATTATAATTATTCAATAAAAATATTATTCAATACGAGCCGTTTTAGATCGCCGGCCACTACATGCTTGTATTTAAAAAAAAAAAACAAAATTTTGCTTCTCATACATAAATTTCAAACTATTCTTCATGATCTTCGTTCGTAGCAAGAAGACATTTAGCATCAGGTCTGTAAAAATTTATACGAACACTGCAGCAATCCAAATTCGCAAAGTTTAAATTACAAATTATGATTGCCTATAGTTGTACCTTGCAACGCGTATCTCTCTTATAAATAAAAACCTCTCTGGGGACCAAAAATATTTCTATTGAGTGAATATAATATTAGCCAGACTACAGGGTAGGTCTATTGCAGAATGTAGCCTTATAAAACACCCTATGCAAGAAGACGGGCACCATGAAACAAGTGTTAATGCTGAAGTGCATCGGGTGCAAATCGGGGCGTGTTTATTTTAAAATACTATTTATTTGCGTTACACTCACCAGGCCAAGCAAATAAGCTGCTGGCATATCTTTAGGACGTCCTTGACTAGACCTAAATCACAACTGGCGGAAGATGCCAATTTATTATAGGCTAGAAAAGGTATCATTCTAGCGATACAGGTATGTAATCTGTGTGGTCAAGTAATAAACATTTTATGTTGCCAATGTTCATCCAGCTTTGGTTAGGTCTTTGACCTCTAACAAATACAATCAAGTTGCATAGTTTTTCTTGTGTGAAACTTTGATATAGCCAGAAGGAGCTTGGGATTTGTGCCGATACTGATTTGTCGAGTAGGCCTCGTCGTTCGAGGCAAATCTACGAAGGCTTCATTTTCAGTGAAAACAATTAAACACGAG